CCACCCCCGGGCATCTCCTCCGCTAGCGCGAGGTCTAGGACGGGGGGGGGGGGTCTCGAGATCATCCAAGGGTCTCCGAGCTAGGCTCGGGCGAGCCGCGCCCTCGACCGCCGGTTCTGGAGGCGACCCCGTGACCTCGCCCGGCGGGCAGAGCATCTGAGAGTCCGAGACCGCCAGAGCAGCTGCGGGCGGAGCAGCGCGGAGGGAGGAACTGACCGATGGGGCGGGGCCAGTCGGGGGGGGCGTCGGATTTCTTTCGTCGCCCAGCAGGGGGCCCAGCATCTCGATCACCGACTATAAGGAGCGGGATGTGTGACTGGAGCTCCCTCCGGCCCGACGCGTAAAGGACCCGCCCCGCTCGGCGCTGGAGCAGGCTGCGCTTGGCCCTCGGGGGCGGTAAAATAGCGAACTCGATCGCGCCGCAGCCGCAGGAGGTGACGGGTGCGATGGCTCTCCCGACGGGCGCCACTCCCCCTCTGGCCTGCGTCGGCCTGCGGGAGGCCCTCGGCGTCGGAGGCCAGGTGCGCCAGGTGCCCCGTCGCGGCGAAGGCGTCCACGAACTTCTGCAGGTTGGGCTCCCCGATCAGCGCGGCGCCGGCCGCGGTGCCCACCTGCGCGTGGTCGCCCGTGCTGGAGGGAGTCACGTCGTGGACCATATCAGTGAACGCGACGTTCTCAGTGATCTTATTTTTCCGCAGGCCCCCCTTCTGGCTCGAGCGTGGCGGGCCGCGAGCCTCCAGCCAGGTCCCGCTGGGGTCGTCCGCCAGGAAGTGAAAGAGCGAATCGCTCGGCTTGGCAGTCATCTCGGCCTTGAGAGCCTGTCGGCCTTGCTGCGGCGCGGGTTCTTGCAGTCCTCGCGTCAATGCCCAGATTCGCCGCGGTGAAAGCATCGGGGCCTTTTCTTGAGGTCATCTCTTGAAATGACTTTTCGGCCTGGTCGATGCTGTTCTGGCCGACCTCAACGACGACGGTCGAAAAAGTCACGGTCTACTTTCCCGGCTACTTTCGTGTCTCGGGCCTCTTTCCAGGTCTTCTTCCGCCGTGGTTCCGCCGCCCCTGCGTGTGCGTGATAAATCTCGTCCTCCGCGAGGTCTGATTCGCTTCGTCTTGATTGAACTCCACCAGGAAGATGATCGTCCTGAAGGTCGTCGGAGGGCTCTTCTTCTCGGAAGAATGGCAATCTCAATGCCAGCCTCGACACAGGTGCGGGAGCCCGATGACGACGGGTTGGGACGCACTGACCGGTCAGTGCCATCGAGATCAAGAAGTGCCTGGCGACTTGACTGGAGGCCCTTCTTTCCAGAGGAGAGAGTACGTACATTCACTCGATCGATGTTGTTGTGACAAGCGGCCCCTTCTTCATAACAGCGTGCTTTGACTGCGTTTGGTAGTATGAGTCCCAGTGCCTCCGCCTTGCCCAGTTGGGCGTCGCGACGGGCGACGTTCCCTGCGAGAGACTCGCCCTGCTTTATCATGAACTCGAACAAAGCGTCGCCATGCAGCTTTCGATCTGCTTCGCCTGCTCGCCCCCCCAGAAAAGGATAATGAGGTGATCATCCAGGAGCTTCATGCCACGGGGCGGGTCGAGCTTGACTCGGCTTGACCTGAACTTGGTCTGAAGCTCGAGGGACAAGCCCTCCAAGACCTTACTCGCCTAGGCGAAGTCCGGGAAGCATTTCCTGAGCGTCCATGATCTGAAATTGATTTGTCGAGCAGGAAGTGTTCGGACCCGTTCCACTGAGGAGGAGCTGAGAAGTCCCTCGACTTTTCCTCGGCTGGCCGCTGGGGCTTCTGATCGTCACGCCCGTGCCAGCCCCAATCTTTTGCATGCCCAGCATGTTCTTGTGGCCAGTTCCCGTCGTCAGCACCGCGGTACCTGCTCAGTTGGGATGGTGAGCTTCATGGGTCTGAAGTGAACGTCCATGGATATGATGCTGTCGTCCGTGGGCCCCAGCTCCAGCGTGACCACCAATCACGGCCAGCACCCCGTTCAGAGTGACCCATCCTGGGGTCCAACTCTCGCCGGGAGTCTCGGTGGTCCACGAGAGCTGTTGCCAATCGTCTTCGTCTGTGCCCACCCCTTTGTCGGAGGTGGGATGGGTGACCCCCCCTGCACTCTCTAGCGTCCCTGTGGCTTCGGCACCTCCGCCATCGGACGCGTCCGCCACCCCACTGGATCCTGAGCCGCCGCTCCGCCCACCACTGTTGCTGGACATGGGCGGATGGGGACCAAAAGAACAACAACTGAGCTGATTATGATAATATACCTTATCGCGCACATAACACCCTGAGTGACGCGTCGCCCTAAGCCATACTTCCTGTAGCATATATATATATATATATATATATGTATGTATATGTATACATATATGTATACACATGCACTGGGAGCTGTGGGGCCGCCGAGGGCCCCCTGTGGTACTCTGAGGAACGTCTGGCGCATGGGGGCACAAGGGGACACAGAGACAGGAAGTCCCCCAATAAGCCCCGAGAAGGCCCCGAGAAACCTTCCCCTCCTATTCTATTCCTCATGTTCTCCCGTTCCCCTTCCTCCCTTCCCATCCTCTGCGGCTCTACGGACAAAGACGAGGTCGTGATCACCAACCGCCCAAATTCAGACTACTCGTCGGAATTGCGCTGTTCCCACATTCAGCCTCCTTGTTGCTACGCTGTTGCGCAGGCGCGGTGGCGGGGCTTGCCGCATGCATGTGGATAAACGTTGATGCTCCTCCATGGCGGTCCTGACGTTTCTGCGTCCTGACGTTCCTCAATCGCGCCAAAGGCTCCAACCATGGGAACCACGAATCACAGTAACGGTTGCATCCTGACAGCCGTAAACCGCACCAGAGCACAATGCGTGGGGCTTCTTCCTCACAGGCCAGTGAAACTGCTGCACACTGATAATTTTTTTTCAAGGCAAACAAGCAGGGGAGAAGGAGGAATCCGCTGCCCCTCAAGGGGACTTTCCATACCGCGAACCCGAACGAACACGACCAGGAGCACTAGAGGCAGAAAAAAGCAGCAATGGCCCCGGACTCGGGTAGAACGTAACACTGATAAGAAAAGTTCGCGCGGCGCTGAAGCGATAACCACGTGCTGAAAATGACCCGCCATCCACCCTCGAAGCTATAGAATGTTAAAAAACGTATGCGCGCGACGCTAAGGCAGTAGCCGAGGTTTGACAAGGACGCGCCATCCAGCTTTGAGCATGCTGCAGAAATGTGGCTCGAGCGTGCGCGGAAATGAAGCGACAACCACAATCTGACAAACTGCCCGCCCTCCATCCGCGAAACTGTTGCGAATGTTCAAAACGAACGCGTGGCCTTAATGCGAGAACCGCATATTGAGAAAAACCCGCCCTCCACCCTTGAGGCGGAGGATGACCAAGCGGAGGAAGCGCTAAGGCTGGAGGGGGGAGAAGCGGAGGGAGGAGGAAGACCAATGTAAACCCAAGGCATATCACCGATGCTGAGATACACCTTCCTCGAGATGCCCCGTCCACAGGTCCCTGGAAAAAAGATGTTTCCATTGCGGGGCGTTCCCCATTGAATGACGACCGCCTGAAACTACTCAGTCGTGTCACGGCAGCAACGCTGGGACTCCCACGCCGCGGGTGGAGGCGACGAAGTGGACCTCAGCGCCGGGAATCAACGTGACTGTTGAGTCCTGGCAACCCTAAGCCGTGCTAGAACGCGATGACTGGGGCTTCGCCCGTATGAGACGTATGCGCGCGGCGCTGCTGCGAGAACCACACTTTGAACAAGATCCAACCTCCATCCGTGAAGCTATTTTCAATGTTTGAAACGACTGTGCGCGGCGCTGAGACGAGAACCGCATGTTGAAAAGGAACCGCCTCGAACCGTGATACTGACACGTCTGTGGATGGGCCAGGGCAGACCGCTTTTAAGGAAACGAAATGGAAGAAGAGGAAGAGGAAGAGAAACAAGGCGAGGCGGGAGAAAGGGAGGGAGGAGGAGGAGGAGAAGAGGGAGGAGATGGGGGAGTAGGTGGTCAGGTCGCGTCAGGCCAAGCAATCCTCGGAAGCGTCTGGGTGCGCGGCGCTGAAACGATAGCCACATTTTGAAAAGCCACCCGCCCTCAATCCTTGAAGCATTTGCAAAGTTCAAACTTCAAGACAATACCTGGTGAGGACAACTTACGCGAAACGCCCCGCCCGCCCACCAGAACGTCTGGGGGGGCGACAGGAAGGAACTGTTCATAAGGAGGTGTGATTGAGGCGGAGAGGAGGAGGAGGCAGAGGGAGGCATGGAGGGGTGGGGCAAGAAGGGGGGAAAGGGGGAGGGGGAGAGGAGGAGGAGTGAGAAATGAAGAAGGTGGCAGACAATACGTGTGCGGAGGAGCAGGAGGGAAAGTCATGGAGGAAGACGACGAGACAGAACCAGAAAGGCTAGATAATGATATGTAGTAAACAACGAAGATGGAAGACGGAAAAGCACGGAGTGGCCAAGGAAGCGAAGGGGCGGAGGAGACGGGAGGCGGGAGGAGGGAGGGAAGTAGGGATGGCCAACGCGCAGAAGGAGGGAGTAGGAGTAGGGCGGGCCACATCTCGAAAGACCCGCTTCCCTCAGAGCCACTCTCCTCCCCCCCGCTGCTCCGGCTCGGGGTGGGGGACACCGGCCCTGAATCGGCGATACGTCGCCGATGGATCGGCGACGAGCCCCGATAGCGCATAAGAACGCTCCTTGGCTGGGCCGGCCGTCGGGCCCCTCTGGGCGACCAATGGGCAGTGGGGGGGGAGTCCCCCCCCGAGCCGACCCCCCCCCCTGACTTGCCCCTGACCCCCTCTTCACCCCGCCCCCTGCCGAGCGCGAGGAGGAGGAGGAGGAGGAGGAAGAGGCGGGACGAGGAGGAGCTGCGAGGGAGGGAGGGCCCAACGCGCAGGAAGAAGGGAGGGACCCAATTCCCCCGGATCCAATCTCCCCCCCCCCCCCGTGGCGCGGGGACCACCGGCCCGGCGGCGGCGGCGGGCGCGGCGAGATGGACCGCGCCGCGGCGCGCGCCGCGCTGGAGGGGGCCGCCCCGCGGTCTGCCGTGGGACCTGGCGTGCGGGCGGCGGCGGCGGCAACGGCCGACAGCGGCGACAACGACCGACGACGATCGACGACGGCGGCGCGTAGCTGCCCCGATGCGCAACACGCGACACGTGGCGTATTGCTACGGAGCTCAACACGTGGACTGAAAACGCAGGTCCGACGCGATACGTTCGCCAAAGCGTGGGCCAATACGTGGAGCCAACACGCGACGTATTGACACGGACGTCTTGAACACGGGACGTGTTGCGTTTGAAAACGGGCGTATCGAGGCGGCGGCGGCGACCACGAGGGCAGCAGCGGAGACGAGGAGGGGATGGAAGAGGAGCAGGAGGGCGAAAAGGGGTATCAACGGAGGCGGCGGCGGTGGCGTCGGCGTCGGCACCGCAGTCGTTGTCGCCATCGGAGGCGGCGTTCGTCACCGGCGTCGTCAGGATCGTCGTCGTTGGCGCCGCCATAGTCGTCGCCATACGTCGTCGTCGCCGTCGTGGACGACGTCGTCGTTGCCGCCGTCATCGTCGTCGCCATACGTTGTCGTCGTCGTCGCCGTCGTCATCGTCTTCGTCATCGTCGTCTTCGTCGCCGCGGGAGTCGTCGCCGTTTCCAACGTCGTCGTTAGCGTCGTGGCCATCCTCCCCGCCGAGGAGGAGGACGAGGAGTAGGGGGCGGCAGGAGAAGGCAGGATCAGGCGAGACGAAGAGGACGGCGAACATAATGAACGACGATTGTCAGCGCTCCCGGGGGGCCACGATCGAGTTCCTCCCTTTCATCCTCCCCCCCCTCCCCCTTCCCCTCCTCCTCTTCCTCCTCCTCCTCTCCTCCTCCTCCTCCTCCTCCTTCTCCTCCTCCTCCTCCAGCACCTCCACCTCCTCCTCCTCATCCTCCTCCTTCTCCTACTCCTCCTCCCCTCAAGCGCCCTCCGCGGACCCGCCCTCTCCCCTCCCCTCCCTCCCCTCACTCACACGTTCAGTGGTGGAGAGGGGGGGCCTGCGGCGGCCCGCGGAGACGCCGCGCCCGCCGCGCGGCCCTCCAGGCTGTTGTGGTGGCTCTCCACTGAGTACCTCTCCCGCCGCCCCAGGGGAGTCCCCCGACCGAGAGAGGGCGAGCGGGGAAGCAGGGACGAAGGGGGGGGGGGGGGGGAAAGGCGGGGGAGGAAAACGAGGAGGGGAACGCAGGGGAACGAGGAGTAACCACCCCCGCCGCCCCCCAGATCCCCCCGCTTCGCGAGAGGGGGCGATGGTTTGGGGGCAACTCCTGGGAGGTGCTCGTCAGAAGGATTGGTGTCGATTTAGCCAGACCAAGGCGCCATTAGGCCAGATGAAGCCAGAAGGAGCCCGGGATTCTGCGGACTTGAAAGAGATTGCGCTAGATGAAGCTGGATTGTGCCAGAGCGTACCAGTCATCGACCACGGGAGTACCAGCCCGATGTTGACTTTCAACCCCCCAGGGCTTGAATTTGACCGCTATGGCGGTAGAGCTAGACGGGGGAGAAGGCAACGCGCAGGCACTGCACAACCTTGATCGTAATTGTGAATGCAAGAACCATGGATGTGCACACAACGTGTTGCGTGTATGTATGTGTACAGATATATGTGCACACAACAGGTACATACTGTGCATATATACATGAGCATGCACATACCAGGACCAGACCATTCATCATATGTGTGTGCATGTGCTCACTCATATGCGGATAGGTTGCTATTCCAAACAATGCTTGCTCTTAGGAGCTCTCGCTTCCCTTCTAAGGGATTGGGCCCGTGCGCGGCCACTGCGGCCCCCGTTCGCGTCCGTCGCCTCACGACGTGTCCAAATGTTAGGCCACGTGGGCACCAAGCAGTGGGCTTCTAACAAAAATTAGTGCAGAATCTGTGGTGCAATGTGTATCGTGGAGTCGATGTGGTCCAGTATACGTTGTGCGATCTACGTCGCGCACATCGTGCAAATCATGTGGCTATGTGGTGATATCCACGTGGTGCAGTACATGTAGTGTCATCTATCTTGGGGTGTTGATGTAGTGCAAAACACATGGTACAATCGATGTTGTGCCATATACGGGTGCGATTTATGTGGCGCAACCTATGTGGTGCAACTCGCCGGCCCTCACTTGCAAGGGCTGAGAAGGCGTGTCAGAGAATTGGCGTCCCCCTCCTCTCCCCCCTTTCCCCTCCCCTGGGGCCCAGAATCCGATTCTAGGGAGGGGTCCCGACGAGCTGGTCAACAAAGTCCCCGGAGCCTGCGAAGCCTCCAGAAGGGCGCAAAGCAAGAGCGCCGAGACGGCCAACGATATCCGCTCGACGGTCAGAGATGCGTCGAGACGGCCAATGGAGCTACCAAGACGACCCAAAAGAGCTGCTGGAGGACCACGGAAAAAAAACAAGAAACGAACACTGCAAGATTCCCTTGAAAAGACGTGCGGTCGTTGCGTGCCCACCTTTTCCGTTATTGCAGCGTCCAAGACGGCCGAAAAGGCCCCAAGATCGTCCCAGGACGGCCCATGAGGCCTCCAAGGGGCCCCCAAGACGGCCCAAGAGGGCCCTGAGACGGCCCCAGGGCCCCCCCGAGACGCCCCAAGAGAGCTCCCCAAAACGCCCCAAGACAGCCCAAGAGGGGCATGCGACCTGACACGTCGAGCATGTCCCCCCCACGCTGGCCCCCCCAGAGCCCCCCCAGACCCCCCCCGAGGATCCCGCGCGAGGTCCCAAGAGGCCCCCCAAGGCGCCCCCAAGAGGCCCGCAGGAGGCCTCCAGGGGCCCCCCCAAAACACTTGTCAAAGGAACCCGAAAACCCGCCAACGGGCCCCTGAGAGGCATCGCTGGAGACCAATGCATTCATCCGACAGGCTCCTGACCAGCAGCCCAAGCACGGTGGTGGGTTGGGCCGTCCACGGCCGTCGCAAACTCTGACTCTTGGTGAGGTCGGTAACGGCCTAAACCACTCGAACACACGTTACGCACTCGAGGTGGTACAACCTATGTTGTGCAATTAATTTCTGTTCGCATGGAATTGTCCACTCCACTGCTCGCGCAAACATCCCACCCACCCACCCGCAACTTGGTTTGCAAAATCTCTCAAGACCGTGACGGTGGGTACCAAATCGAACTTGGCAGCGACAGCGACGCCGACGACGACAGCGACAACGACGACGACGACGACGCCGCCGACAACGACTACGACGACACCGACGACGTCTCCAACGACTTCGACGACGCCGACAACGACGACTACAACGACGACACCGACGACGACGACGAAGCCGACGCCGACGACGATGACAACGACGACGACGATGACGACGCCGACGACGACGACAGCGACGACACCGACGAGGAGGACGACGACGTCAACGACGACGACGACGACGCCGACGACGGCGGCGACGACGACGCCGACGTCGACGACGACGAAGACGACGACGACGCCGACGCCGACGAAGACGACGAAGACGACGACGACGTCGCCAACGAAGACGACGACGAGGGAGGAGGGAGGACGACGACGGCGACAACGATGACAACGACGAGGGAGGAGGGAGGACGGCGACGACGCGAACGACGAAGAAGGAGGAAGGACGGCGACGCCGACGACGACAACGACGAGGGAGGAGGGAAGACGACGACGACGACAACGACGACGACGACAACGGCGACGAAATAGGAGGGACGACGACGACGAGGGAGGAGGAAGGACGACCACGGCGACAACGACGACGGAAACGACCACGACGCCAAAGAGGACGACGACGACGAACACGAGGAAAGACAGAGGACGACGTAGGCGACGACGACGACGATGCAGCAGGAGGGAGGACGGCGACGACGACGACGACGACGACGCAAAAGCGCGCGCGCACGCTTTTGTTGAAAATCCGTGTTGCGAAACCTTGTGTTTTGTAGGCTGTTTGGACACATGATTTTGAAATCCTTCCGAAAACGATGGGTTGTGAAGGATTTCGGCAGACGCGCGCGACGACGCGCGCGTCTGCACTTCGTCCCACTTTCTGCCGAGGATTCTCGCGACGGCACACGCGCAAAGGCGTTCGACAGATTTCGACATGCGTGCGCGCCAAGCCCCCTTGGTAGCATGTTGTGTAATTATTGAAAATCCGTTTTTTTTATTAAAAAAAACGCGCGTAAGATCTTTTAGCAAATCAGTGTTGCGAAACCCTGTTTTGCATGTTTTTTTGGAAACGCGATTGCAAAAACCTTCCGTCTCCGAGGGTTTTTGACGGATTTCGGCATGCGCGCGCGACGAGGCGCGCCTGTGCACTTCGTCCCATGTTTTGCAAGAGGTTAGTGGACAAATCTTATGCTAAAGCAAAAAATGTTCCCGCGTAATTGTTTGTCTTTCGTACAAAAAAAAAAAAACACCCAGTGGGAGCGTTACCGCCCCCTCTAGAATAGTGTAAATTCATTTTTAAGATGGACATGTGGTCAAAATCATACATGATTTACATACCCGGAAAAGGGGATAACGCCGGGGGGGTAGAGTCCATTCTGTTTTTAGAAAGGAGAACCTGCGCAGTACATTCTAGGTGGTGCGACCTACCTCGTTCTATGTGATGCAATCGGCGTTGCCTCATTTATGTTGTGTAACTGGTGTGATATGGGTTGTGTAGTCTATGTGGCGCGATCGATACTGTGCAGCCCACATGGAGTAATATGTTGTGTACGTCTTATATAGTGCAATATCAGTTGTGTAATCTGCGTGGCGCAGTCTGCATGGTGCGCCTGTTTCTACAAACGAGTTGACACAATCCATGCTCTTGCAAACATCTTACCCACTCACCCGCAACTAGGTGTGCAAAACCATTCGGTGGCGATTGCGATGACTGCGTGGCGTTGGCTAGTGCATCCCTGCGGCCGCGCCAATCCAAGCACGCGCGGCCGGCCAGCTCGTTTGGCGCGACCGACGCGACCGCGGTGGCGCTGACCGCTGGGCACATCCCAGCGGGCACTTCAGTGCGAGTCGGCGAATGGGGCGGGCGCGGTATCATGGCAACGTCGACGAAGGTGGAAACGATGATTATAGTAGCGATGTTGGTGACGATGTTGACAAAGACGACGGCGCGGCGAGTGCGGGTGCCGATGCTGATCACGCCAACGACGATGACGGCGCCGTCGCGTCGGTGATGGAGGTTTTGGAACGAGGTCGACATGCGCGCGCGACCGACGCGCGAGGGTGGCCCCGATGGTTTTATTTGACACGGATCGTGCCCGCCCAGCCCGCGCGCAAAGGCGTGCTTATGTTTCCGGCATGCGGCACCAGAGGCGCGCGAAAACGCCTTTGGCCGAAGTTGATGAATAGGTTGGAAACCAGATGGTTTAGCAGGAACGCGCGCGCATTTGTTTTGCAATGTCCTGCTACCAAAACGCTGTGCTTTTTACACGGTTTCGGGACCCTCGCTTTTCATAACCCTTATGTAACCCACGGTTGTTTCCCATATTCGGGCATCCGCGCGCGACGACGCGCGGGTGTGCACTCCGTCCCGAGGTTTACAAAGATGTTTGAACACTGCTGGTTGTTAATAATGGGGCGAACGGGCATACTTTTTGTTGCATAGGATGAGGAGGGGTGAAGGTGTGCCTGGGATCGTACGAACTCATACCTACAATGGGCGATGGGGCAGAAACGCTTATGACTAGCAATGTGAATATACCACGCGGTAAATCCGGGGGGAGGTAGATCCGAATAACCTTCGTGCTAAAAGAACCGATGTGGTGCCATTCGCCGTGTCGAATTTGACAGTGTTAGCTCCAATGCTCGCGCAACCATTTCACCCACCCGCCCACTCCGCAAAACCCATGCGGCGGCGATTGCGATGACGGCTTGGCGCTGGCTGGAGCACCGCTGCGGCCGCGACGGTGCGCGCATGCTCGCGCGCAGAACGGCCAGCCAGTCTGGCACGAAAGACGCGGCCGCGGTGGCGCAGACCACTGGACATTCCCCTGCGCGCCTCGCAGGCCGCGCTGACGCGGGGGCATTTTAATGAGATTCGGTGCGTCGGGCGGGCGCGGTACCATCGTGACGCCGACAAAGGCAGACACGATGATAATAGTATCGATGTCAATGCCACTGGCGGCGACGATGCTGATCACGCCGAGGACGATGACAGTGTCCACGTGTCGGCGTTGAGGGCTTTAGAAGGATTTCGACGTGCGCGCGGCCGACGGGACCGGGTGGCGTGGCACACATGGTTTTATCTGACAGGGATCGTGCCCCCCTTATCACGCGCGCAAGGGCCTCCGAATGATTCCGACATGTGCGCGCGGAACGCCCACTTGATCGGATTTGATGAACATCTTGGACCCCCTTGGTCTTCTAAGAGCGCGCGCGCAGACCTTGTTTGAAACACCTTGTTGCAAAACCATGTTTCCGGGACGCTCGATGTTTACATCCATACGAAAATTGGCATTGTTGAAAGATGTCGGCAAGCGCGACGACGCGAGCGTGTGCACTTCGGTCCATTTCTCGCACAAGAATGTTGCTCAATACTGATATTTGATGAACGAGTGCGCGCTCATAGTTTTCTTCTACGAAGATGGTGGGGGTTGGTCGCTTTAGTTCGGATGGGAGAAAGTCCGATTACAATGTCGATTGAAGCGGGGGGAGGTTCGATTTTTCTTAGAAAAGGGGGCATGTGAAGCAACCTGTATGGCGCAAAAAGACGGGGCGACGATGGGGCGTGGACGGCGACAACATAGCCGCCAGACCCCCACCCAGGCCCAGACGACGGGCGGCGACGAGTTGGCGACGGGACTGCGACGGCGACTACACAGCCGCCAGACCGACCTTCAGGCCCAGACGACGGGCGACGACGAAGCGGCGATGGGGCGGCGACGGGGCGGCGACGGCGACGACACAGCCGCCAGACCGACCTTCAGGACCAGTGCCGTAGAACACAAATAAGGCCAACTAAATGCACACACTGTTTGGGAAATGAGAAACAAGTTCGCAGCCCAGGCAGCCCCGTTCCCGATCGTCGCCGCCTCCCCGTTGCACACCACCCCTTGCACTGCAATCGCAAATGCGTTGGAATCGTAATGCCTTGCGTTGCTGCAGATATGGCAATGATTTGCTTCGCGTTGCTTCGCATTGCGCTGCGTTGCCTTGCGTTGCATTGCGTTGAATTTCGTTGCATGGAAATGCATTGCTTTGCATGGCGTTGCATTGTGTTGCATTGCGTTGCGATGCATTGCAAAGCGTTGATGTGCTATGAGGCACCTCGGCTATGTATACCCACAGTGCGAGCCAGAGAAGAACCATGCAATGCTAAAAACAACTCCGCGAAATCCGACATGCAAGAAATAAGCTCATGCAACGATCCTTGGCCTGGGAGAGACGCGCGGGGCACTAACAAAATGGCACAACGACCTACCCGTGACAATGATTACTCGGTCGCTTCCAGTCCAGGGGAACCGGGGGAGGAGGAGGACGAGGAGGAGGACGAGGAGGAGGACGAGGAGGAGTAGGAGGAAGAGGCGAGGGAGAAGATGAGAGGAAGGACAAACGCACTGTGTTGGCATCCCCGATGGCTTTGCCAACCAAATATATCATCACACAACGGACGCACCGGAGGAGGAGGAGGAGGAGGAGGAGGAGGCACAGCAGCGGGGACGGAGAAATGCAGGGGAACTGAGGGCCAGGCGAAGCACTCAAGGGATATGAGGACGCGCAGACCACCTGCCTCGCAGGAGATCGTGGCTGGATCCACTGGCACAGACATATACAAAAAACGCTGACAACATGGAGCCACGCGAGCGCTTCGCGCGCGCGCGCGAGGTTCCAGCGAAGCACAGGCACATGATCCGCTGTGAAAGCGGAAGGTGCCAGAGGGTGTATGAAAAACTGTGATTCGCGGGGGACGGATTCAAGAAGTCACGGAGCAGGAGTCTCGGTGCCGTCTGGGCGGCTTCTTTGGGTGCCTAGGGGCCGTCGTGGGGCGTCGTGGGCGCGTGGCGCGCTCTGTGGCGAGATCCTGGCGCGAGGTGCTGTCTCCGGGCGCCGCATGCCGAGCCTCTGATCCTGTTCAGTCGCCGTGCTTCCATGGGCAACGCACACGAAAGAGCACATGGCATGGCTCTTCTGGGCACGGCGAGCCTCGGCCACAAACAGAAGCCCGCGGGCGCTCGTCGTCGTCATCGTCGTCGTCGTCGCCATTCAGGGTCGGCGGCACTGGCCGCAAGACCTTCGCCATATAAGGCCGCGGGGGTCCAAAAGCACGCGCCTCTCCCGGTGGTCTATCCTCTTCCTGTCTGCGCTGCGCCGTGGCCTTGCGCGCGCCCGCCGCCCTGGCAGCGTGAAGGCGGCCAGGAGCGACCATCGCAAGTTTGCTTCCCCATCGGTCTGGGTCAGGGGCTGCGACCGAGATCTAGGGAACGGTCCGGACACACGAGCCCCTCCTGGAGGCTAGTGGGGATATGGGGATAATCTGGCATACGTATTGCTCATTGGTGTCATGATGAGTTGTATCACGACAGTTTCCGAATACTCGTGTCATGGATACTATCATGAGCTATCACAGACAGATTCGACACGCTCTTCGATTGTTGCAGGCTCTTGCTTCAGCGCCTTGACTGCAAACACCTCCATGAGGCGGCTCGGGACCAACGCCCGAGGGGCCGCACGCCCCCTCCGACGCTGCCTCTTGCCTCCACCGAGTGGGCGGGGGCGCCCCTGCATGTTTGACTACCTGCCAGACCACCCCAGCCCAACCCGAAGACCCGAATTTCGGGTTGGGGGGGGTACGGGTTCCACATGTGTGCTTTCGATGTTCCCCGACCCCCCCCCACTGGAAATGGAGGGCAACTTGAGGCCTTCGGGTTGGGTTGGGGTGGTTTGGTGGGTAGTGACTCCTCCTCTCCTGAGGACGGCGCCTGCGGACGGATTCGTCTGCGGCAGCTCCCCTGCTTTCGCTCGTGGGGCGCCTGCTCGCTGGTCCGTGCTCTCCCTCCTCCGCTCCTCCCCGCCCTGCCCGCCCCCCAGCCGTCCCTCTGCTCCACCTCTTTCGGTGCGTGGGCCCCCAGAGGTCCCGACCACTGATTGGCGGCGCGCAGAAGGGGGTAGGGGGAGGGGGGAAGGCTTCTCAGAAACACCCTGCGTGACGTCTATAGAGAAGGCCCGCGCCTTCTAAGAAGCAGGGGTGCTTTCTAAGAAGCCTTCCCCCCCTCCCCCCTACCCCCCCCTCTGCGCGTTGCCGACCACTTCCCCGGGGCCGGCCCCTCGCCGTGAGTCCTTCTCGGAGGGCCCCGAGCCCCGGCGCGAGGGCCCCGGCGGCCGAACACCGACAGGCACCGCCCGCGCCAACTCTCTGTTGCCTGGGGCGTCGCGGCTGCGGCCTGGTCCTCCCCTCGTCCTCGTCTTGCCGTCGCTCGGGCGCCCGTTCCCCGCGCATGCTCCGGCTTCGGGAGCGACTTCCTGGCGCTCGCTCCTCCAGGATGCTCCTCGTTTGTCCCCGCCGGAAAAAAAACATGCGCACTTTTTACAGACACGCCGAGAGCCCCGCGGCCGAGGAGGAGGGGAGGGGGGGGAGGGAGGGAGGGAGGACGAGGGAGGGGAACAAAAACTGCACACGTCCGCGCGCTGCAAGAGATGCCCTTCCCCCCCTGCGTCCTCCGTCCCCGCCGGCACTGCGCACGGCCCCTCCCCCCGAGCCCACGCACCGCCCCTCGAGAAGAAAAACGGTGGTGTGCGCCGGCAGTGCCCGAGTCAAGAGGTGCCGCGGAGCTTCTCGCTCGCAGCCTCGGCAGGTGGCTTTCAGGGATCATCGCACGCCCCTGAGAATCACACGGGGGGGAATCGAGTGCGGGGAGCGGGGGTGATCAGGAAATTTCCCGGCTCGGCAACTCGCACGTGCCAAGTTGGGATGGGATGTTAGTAGGGTCGATCGATACCCGGCTCGCTCTGGCGAAACCTCCTTGCTACTCAACATAAGAAGGTGACAACTTCGATCCGTACGTTCCCCGGCAGTAATGAAGTTCGGCCTCGCTGCCCCGTACCCCCAACCAGCCCTGACTTGGCCCAGGATAGTCGAGTCTCAGGGTCTCAGGGGTAAGGGGGGGTATGCTTTACTATCCAGGGTATGCGGTTATTCGGCTTCCCCTTCGTCGGCCCGTCTGGGCGCCTCGTTGGAGGCATGCTGGCCCGAAAAGGCAAGAATTCACTCTTCTGCGAAACTTCTGCCTTGAATCATGTTTTTTTGTGAAGGCCCCATTGGAGATCATCTTGGGATCATACGGTGGGCTCTTGAAGCCAATTGGGAGTGCTAGGGGCCGGCCGTCTATGAATGGATATCCTCCGCCCGAGTCCATGCCGATGCCGCGGGCCCACCGTCGGCTGCACGCAAGAGTTACCCTGGGCAAGAGTGACCTGCGGTGCACGGCTTCAGGGCGCCGCCACATCCAAAAGCGCGCAAATCGCTGTTACCGCATCACCACCCTCGGCGACTGGGAGGCCCCAGTGGGCCCGCACCGAGGTCACTCCGGCGAAGGGTCCCTCTGACTCGTAGCCGAACCCCCCACTGGAGCCCACAAAAGACGCGCGCGCATACATTGAATACGGCCACTCAGCCCGCGAGACTAGCCTCGTGATCCGAACGTTCGCGCAGCGCGTACTTTCGAATCCAACGCGGCTATGTGCATGTGCGTATACGTCCTGCTTTCGGCTGCACGCAAAGAATGACCCTGGGCAAGAGTGGCTCTGGGTGCGCGGGCTTCCGGGGGCCGCGTGGGGGGCCGAATCCAAGCAGTTCCAATGCGCCAGCCACTGCTGGGGGGGACCCCCGTGGGCCCGCATCCAAGGGCACTCCGGAGACAGGTCACTCTGACGCGTAGCCGCTGCTTTCGCTCCGGAGCCCCCCGGCAGCCCCGCGGGGAGGCGCCCTGGGGAGGCCCGCGGGCGCCGGGGCGTCCGGGCCGAGCTGGGCTGCTCCGCGTCGCCCCTCAGGATCGCCTGGCGCCGAGGGGCGGCCGGCGAGCGGCGGCGGCCGACGACCATCAGGCGGCCGACGCCGAGGGCCGACGCCGACGGCCAGCGTCGAGCGGCGACGGCCAGACGCCGGCCTGGGACGACAGAGTGAGCGACGAGGAGGAACCGAGAGACACACGAGCCTGTCTCGCGTTCGCCCCCCCCTCCCTTCCAAACTGGAATCCAGGGAGGCCGAGCGACCCGTGGCGCGGCCCGCAACGGTCAGGCTGCCTGACGAGGAGGCGCGTGGCATGACTCGGCTTTGCCCGGAAGCGCAAGCGGGGCAGGTAGCTTTACCCCACAAGACAGAGCTCCCTTGCGCTGCGGCTTACGCGGGCAGCTAGCGTGGCACACCGCGTGGAGAAGGGAGCGCTCACGCACGACGTGACGACAAAGGAAGCTCGCACGCGAATGTCCGAGCAGTCGCCCCCGTCTTCTCCCGTCGACCAAATGCCCCCAGGAAGGACTCGGGAGCTCTGGAGCCCGCGCTTCCAGGGCGGCCCTGATGGCCTCCAGGGCACACCTCGCCAGGGCCCAGGATAGCGCATGGCGCGGGCAGCTCGGAGCCCTGGTCCACATCTGCGACGCCGTGATTTTGACACAACGTCGACGCCCTTGAATTTTCATGCCGGATCGCTTTGGCGGGCGGTGCCAAAGGGCTTTCCATCGCGAGGGCCCCCAGAAGCTGACAGTACAGTAACCCCGTATGGTAAGGACGCGCGGTAAGGATGCAAAGGCCCTGGAACGCCACGTCGCCTGTCTGTTCGAGCTGGGATGGGCCGAAGGGGTAAGGATGCAAGGGCCGCCTCGGATGGTCGCTCCTTCTTCCTGTGCGGGCTGCCTGCAGCCAGAAACGACGGAAGGTGGGCCCCCCACACCCGACCAAAACGTCGCGACTCGTTCTACTTCTCCAGAACACGTCCTGAATTTTATGATGTTCCCATCTTACTTAAAGACCACATCCCAGAAATGATTTCGAGCACCCGGAAAGGTGTCAAAAGAGTGTCGAAACAGTGTCGAAACACTGTCAGGCGAGTGTCTCCCAGGGCCCGGCACGTGAAAACCCTTGAGTTTCGGTAATTCCTTGGGCGCTGGAAATTCTTCTTGGCGAACGAGGCTAAAGTAGGTTGGACCATCACAATCTGAACTTTCCAAAACGAGGGAAGGCGGAGCCCCACTCGGCCCCCGAACTCGGGCCGACCGGCCCACGACGGTGGGCAGCGGCCCGCGCGCAGCTCGGGGCGGCGGCTGTCGCGCGGGCGGCGGCCGCGGTGCCGCCCTCGTGCCCTGGGCGCCGTCGCCGGCGCCGCCGTCGGTCGGCCCCGTTGTCGTCGCCGTCGCCGCCGTCGTCGTCGTCGTCGTCGTCGTCGTCGTCGGCGTTGGCGTCGTCGTCGTCGTCGTCGTCGTTGCGTCGTCGTCGCCGTCGTCGTCGTCGGCGTCGTCGGGGGCGTCGTGGTCGTCGCTATGGCCGTTGCCCAGGAGGAAAGGGAGGGGGAGGAGGATGAAGGTTTCTGAACGCCCTCGGCCTTTCTGTAAAAATCTGCGGAGGCCTCATTGTCGTCGCCGGTCGGCCCCATTGTCGTCGTCACCATCGTCCAAGCCGTCGTCGTCGCAGTCGCCGTCGCCGTCGCGGACGCATTCGCCGTCGCCGTCGCCGTCGTCTGCGGAATCGTCGTCGTCGTCGTCGTCGTCGCCGTCGTCGCCGTCACCGTCGTCGCCGTCGCCGTTGCCGCCGTCGTCGTCGTCGTCGCCGCCGTCGCCGTCGTTGTCGTCACCGTCGCCGTCGCCGTCGCCGTGGCCGTTGCCGTCTTCGCCGTCATCGTCGTCGTCGTCATCGTCGACAACGTCGTCGTCGCCGCCACCGTTGCCGTCGCAGTCACCGTCGCCGTCGCCGTCGTCGTCGTCGTCGCCGTCGCCGTCGCCGTCGCCGTCGCCGTCGCCGTCGTCGCCGTCGCCGTCGCCGTTGTCGTCGTCGTCGTCGTCGTTGCCGTCGCCGTTGCCGTCGCCGTCGCCGTCGCCGCCGTCGTCGTCGCCGTCGCCGTCGCCGTCGCCGTCGCCGTCGCCGTCGTCGCCGTCGCCGTCGCCGTTGTCGTCGTCGTCGTCGTCGTCGTCGTCGTCGTCGTCGTCATCGTCGACAACGTCGTCGTCGCCGCCGCCGTTGCCGTCGCCGTCACCTTCGCCGTCGCCGTCGTCGTTGCCGTCGCCGTCGCCGCTGCCGCCGTCGCCGTCGTCGTCGTCGTCGCCGTCGTCGTCGCCGGCGTCGTCGGGGGCGTCGTGATCGTCGTTATGGTCGTCGCCCAGGAGGAAGGGATGGGAAGGAGGATAAAGGTTTCTGAACGCCTTCGGCCTTTCTGTAACCTGTAAAAGAGAAAGGTTTCTGAACGCCTTGGGCCTTCGCCCAAGAGGAAGGGATGGGAAGGAGGATGAAGGTTTCTGAAAGCCTCATTGTCGTCGTCGGTCGGCCCCATTGTCGTCGTCGCCATCGTCGAAGCCGTCGTCAACGCAGTCGCCGTCTCCGTCGCCATCGCCGTCGCCGTCGCCGACGCAATCGCCATCGCCGTCGCCGTCGCCGTCGCCGTCGCCGTCGCCGTCGCCGTCGTCGTCGTTATCGTCGTCGTCGGCGGCGGAATCGTCGTCGTCGGCGTCGACGTCGCCGCCAAAGCATCCGTCGTCGTCGTCGTCGTCGCCGTTGCCGTCGTCGGCGTCGTCAACGTCGTCAAAGTCGTCAACGTCGTCGTCGCCGTCGCCGTCGCCGTCGTCGCCGTCGCCGTCGCCGCCGCCGCCGTCACCGTCGCCGTCGTCGTCGTCGTCGTCTTCGTCGTCGTCGTTATCGTCGTCGTCCAGGGCGTCGTTGTCGTCGCTATGGCCGTCGCCTGGGAGGAAAGGGAGGGGGAGGAGGATGAAGGTTTCTGAACGCCCTCGGCCTTTCTTGCAAAATCTGCGGCAGCCTCATTGTCGTTGTCGGTTGGCCCAATTATCGTCGTCGCCATCGTCGTCGCCGTCGTTGTCGCAATCGCCGTCGCTGTCGCCGTCGCCGTCGCTGCCGACGTCGCCGTCGCAGTCGCTGCCGCCAGCGTCGTCGTCGTCGGCGGAATCGTCGTCGTCGTCGGCGTCGACGTCGCCGCCACAGCCGCCGTCGTCGTCGTCGTCGTCGTCGTCGTCGTCGTCGTCGCCGTGACGCCGTCGTCGTCGTCGTCGGCGTCGTCAACGTCTTCAACGTCGTCGTTGCCGTCGCCGTCGCCGTCGCCGCCGCCGCCGTCGCCGTCGCCGTCGCCGTCGCCGTCGCCGTCGCCGTCGCCGTCGTCGTCGTCGTCGTCGTCGTCGTCGTCGTCGGGGGCGTCGTGGTCGTTGTTATGGCCGTCGCCCGGGAGGAAGGGGATGGGGAGGAGGATGAAGGTTTCTGAACGCCCTCGGCCTTTCTTTGAAAATCTGCGGAGGCCTCTCGGGATCATCCCGGAGCCGCCAGAAGCCCTCGCCTGTACATTTGCCGCGATGCCGAAACTATGGTAGCGTTCCAACAAAGCTCTTTGTCGTCGCATGCCTCACTTCGCGTCGCATGCTGGAGCGTTCTGCGTTGGTGTCGGTGGAAAGCCCCAGAAGCCTCTCCGCGACTGGCGATGCTGACAGGTGCCGATGAATGCGCACACGACACTCGCATTCCACGACTAGGACATCCAACTCCGCAATGTTCGAAGACACGGCAAAATTCGATCGGACGTGCGCCCAAAACAATACTGCTTCGCAGGTGAACATACTATGAGCTTTCTGTCAAGGTTCATCAACGACGAAGTGAAAGCGCACAAAATTTGCTATGGTCTCTTCCCGTCTGGGTATGCTACTCGTTTGAATTTCTGAAGGGCTATCTCAAGTACCCTCGAGAACTTCACAAGACTCCTGGGCAGTTCCTGGAACAGACCTGTGAGACTTGGTAAGGGGGTTGATTATGACGTTGGCTCCTGCAAGATTCCGTTTCAGGCGCTTTACGCTGGCGCCGTCTCCGGCGCCGCCGGCACCGGCGTGATCGCCGTCTTCGTCGCCGTTGTCGTCGTCGTCGTCGGCATATTGGTCGTTGTCGTTGTCGTTGTCGTCGTCGTTGTCGCCGTCATTGCCGCCGTCGTCGCCATCGTGGTCGTCGTCGGCATCGTGGTTGGTGTCGTCGTCGACGTCGTCGATCGCGTCTGCCTCGGCGATGCGCTGCTCCATGTCGGTGGTGAAGTATACCAGCGAGCCTCCGCGGGGGCGGCAAGAGGCGGCAGGGGGAGGGGGGGGAGCGAAGCATCAAGGCACTGAGATTTCGTAAGTGACTCGTGCCCTTGTCAAGCCTGTGGGGCGGGGGCCTTCCAGACACACACGAGTCATAAAGATTGCGAAAGTTTCTGGGGGCCCTCACCGTGTCTCGGGAACGTCAAGAGACGGCTCAAGATAAAATACCGGTCCTGGGGAAATGGGTCGAGACCTGTGGGGGTCGACGTCATTCAGAAATTCTGACGTCGGGGGTCTGGGTTCGGGGGGAAGGGAGGCCTTCAGAGGGAAGGAGGAGGAGGAGGAGGAGGAGGAGGAGGAGGAGGAGGAGGAGCGGGCCCAAAGATCCGAGGTTGCTTTTGTCCATTCTTTTGTCCATTCTGGACCTCAGGGAGTCCCAGTCCATTTGCCCAGAGTGCTAGGAGAAGTGAGAGGGCGAGGGTGACAAGTAGACGGAGCAGGAGAGAAGGGGGATGAGAACAAGGAACGAACGGGAGGGGGGGAGCAATAGGGAGGAGTAAGATGGTGACGGTGGTGATGGTGAAGACAACGGTGACGATGATGATGGTGATGATGATGATGATGGTGGTGGTGATGATGATGGTGATGCTGATGATGATGATCATGATGATGATCATGATGGTGATAATAAAGATGGTAAATATGATGTTGGCAGTAATGACGCTAAAGGCGACGACGCTGATGGTGGTGATGATGATGCTGCGGATGATGATGGTGATGGTGGTGATGATGATGATCATGGCGACGACGACACACATCAAGAGAACGATTACGGTGAACACAAAGAGCCTGATCAAGCTACGGATGCATATGATTAGTATAATATTTGCTTATGCTGATGATGGTGAAGGTGGTGGTGATGATGATGGTGATGGTGATGATGATGATATCGACAACGACGGGAAATAAAGAGGATGAGTAAGGTGCAGATGAAACCTATGATGATGCTAACGTTGATTATGAGTTTGACGATTGTTCTTATGATCATGATGACGGTGGTTGCGGTAGTGTTGTTGTTGATGCTGATGCTGATGACGACGAGGACGATGACAAGGTCGATGGCGATGACGATGATGATGATGCTGATGCTGATGCTGATGCTGCTGCTGGTGATGAGGATGATGATGAGGATGATGCCAGGGGGGCGGGAAAGCAAAGGCAGCGACGGGGACGAACGGCAGCGGGCGGCGCCGCCTCGGAGGACGCCCGAGCCCTCGCAGACGCTGGCCAGGAGCCCCGCGCCGTCGGACGACACGTGGTGCTCGCATGGCGGCGGGGAGGCCTCGCCGCCCTGCCGGACGTGGCAGCTCCTCCCGCGGAGGGGCTGCCGCCGTCGCTTCCGCCACCGTCGGCCAGCGGGTCGTCGTCGTCCACGGTCGTCGTCGTCGCCGTCGCCGTCGTCCGTCGCTGGTCGTCGGGCTGTCCGTCGTCACCGCCGTCGGTCGTCGCCGAGGCCGTCGGTCGGTCGACGTCGTCGGATTCCGTCGCTCCTCGCTCGGCGTCGTCCCCGTGGCCGCCGTCGTCGGTCTGCATCGCCAGCCTGCTCTCTTCTCCCTCCATCCTCCCTCCTCCCCCATGTCTCCTCGAGCAAGGGGCGCTGTCGAAAAACAGCATCTGGATCAGGGATGCGCTCGCTGTAATGTGGATGCAGATCAAACCTAACCTGAAGTCGGGCGTGTCCTCCTACAGGGAGATTGTCGACGACAAATAAAAGATAAACAACAAATGCCCCCAAATTGTCAACAAAAAATACAAAAAAATATCCACATATTATGTTTTGCCTAATTTTGACTAATCCCCCTGTAGAGGGACAGGCCCGACTTAGACCCAACCGCAATCGCATGGTACTCCTCGGCGAAGGCGCTCTGCGTTCGCTCGGAGGGCCCAGGGCACTCGAAGGGAGGGGAGGGGTTACCAGCCTCGAACGTATCCCTATCCCTAAGATTGACACGCCAAAAGGCGATGACAATCTTAGGGATTCGCCCTCAAAAAAAAAGGGAATCCCTAAGATTCGCATCGTGATGAGGAGGTGCCCAGCATAGGGATAAGGATATGTTCCAGGCTGGTAAGGGGGGGGACAGAAGACAGACAGGAAGCGCCATGAAGCACATACGGCTTCACATGTGCAAACCTGAGAACGCCACCATAACCTGCGACTGTCGTTGTTTAAGACTTTGTCCCGCTACAAAGAGAGATCCGCAACAAAAAGGGATCGCGCTTCAACCCGCCACAATAGGAATCCCTGTGCAACAAAAAGCAGAGGGGGCATTCTCTTGCAAGCCGCCACACAAGGAATCCTTCCGTAATCCGTCGCAAGTCTCCCGCCGCAAAAATAGTCCCCTTGGGGAGCCGCCGCGACATCGAGTTGTTTATTTTCGTAATTTGGAGAAGGGTGCATCGTTCTTGCTGTTTCCTCGCCCGGCCCCTGGAGGCTCAGCTTGGCTTTTGGACTTGTCCGTGTGCAGGCCAAGGCTTACAATGTGTTGCCTCTGGCTCCCTGTTGTTCGGTGGTCTCGCCCTGGGGCGGAGGGCGGGCGCCGCGGGAACGAAGCGCAGACAACCATGAGTACATCCGCCGATCCGGCGTCTTGAGCTTCAATCGGGGATGGACAGACCCCCCTTTAGTAAAACGTGGTTTAGTGAAAACGACCTGAGGCCCAAACCTGGCGGGCGCAAGCCTGGAAAATAACGGCCACGGCCCCCTCTCGAGAACCGAAAACGGACAATTCACTAATCGACGTGTCACTGTTGGGGGTTCTGTCCAACCCCGATTCAAAGGGCCCGAGCTTCAGCTCTGCGGGGGGGGGGGCGCGGGGGGGGGCTCTGCCGGGGAAGGAGAAGGCGGGGGGGGGGCGCCTGCTCCGCCTGTGCTCCGCTTTTTCTGGGCGGGGGCGGGGCGCGTAGAGATCTGCCACACTCCCACCCAGGGGGCCAGAGAACCCAAGATGCTCGCCAGATGTTCCTCAGACAGCTCAAGATGCACCCAAGATGGCCCAGGATGCCCTCCCCCCAAAAAAATATCCCAGTGCGACCCTACCTAGCAGTTGGAGCATCTAGGAAAGCAACATCTACCTCTACACCGACAGCTACATGAACATCTACACCTGCATCAACATCTACATCTACATCAACAGCAACATCTACATCAACTCTGCAGGCTGTTCAGCACTGCTTGCAAGAGCTGCAGGCTGTTCAGCACTGCTCGCGGCTCCTGCAAGAGCTGCAGGCTGTTCAACGTTGCAGGTCCAGCTGTGCGTTGCTTGCGCTTTGCTTTGCTGCTGCTGCTGTTGTTTTGCCGTTGCTTTGCTGCTATGCTATGCTATGCTATACCATGCTGCGCTTTGCTATGCTATGCTATGCTATGCTACGCTATGCTGCGCTATGCTGCGCTATGATATGCTATGTTATGCGAGGGTACGCTCGGCTGTGCTGTGTTATGCTTGGCTATGCTATGATATGTTATGAGTCGCGATGCTATGCTATTTTATGCTGAGCTATACACTGCTATCCTATGGTAGGCTGCGCTATGCTATGCTATGCTAGGCCAGGCTATGCTATGATATGCTATGCTGCGCTATGCTATGCTATGCTGTTATATGTTATGCTATACTATGATATACTGCGCTATGCTATGCTATGATATGCTATGATGTACTGTAATACACTATGAAATGATGCGCTGTGCTATGATAAGCAATGCTATGACATGTTATGATATGCTATGTTATGCTGCGCTATGATATGATAGGATATGCTATGCTATGACATGCTGAACTATGTTATGCTATGATATGCTATGCTATGCCTGGGTATGCTATGCTATGTTGTGCTATTGCTGCGCGGCGCTATGCTGCGCTAAGCTAAGCTAAGCTAAGTTAAGCTGTACTAAGCTAAGCAAAGCAAAGCTAAGCTAGGCTAGGCTAGGCTAAGCTAAGCTAAGCCAAGCGAAGCTAAGCTAGGCTAGGCTAAGCTAAGCTAAGCCAAGCCAATCTAAGCGAGGCTAGGCTAGGCTAGGCTAGGCTAGGCTCAGCTAAGCTAAGCTAGGCTAAGGTAAGATGAGATAGGCAAAGCTAAGCTAAGCTAAGCTAAGTGGGCGATGATATGCGATTCTGCGCTATGCTTTGCTACGCGGTGCTCTGCTATGCTAAAGCTCAGCGAAGCTAAGATGAAGGTCAGCTAAGCTAATATACATCTGAGCTAAGATGAAGCTAAGCTAAGATGAAATAAGCCAAGCTAAGATGAGATAAGAAACGCTAAGCTAAGGGGAAGTAACTGGGGGAACCGCGGGCCGGATACTGGGGGAACCGCCCGCGGCGAGTTGCACTACCCGACCCTTTAAGCATACCGAGTAAGAACCCTTCTAGGCAGAGCCTAGGTAGGGAACCAAAGAGGCCGACATCCCTGACTTTCGATATGCTTCTGCAAGATTTGGGCGCTTCGTTCAGTTCGGCCTTCCGACGGCCCCAGAGGCCCCCAAGATCGCCCCACAAATCTCCAAGATGGTCCGATGACGGCCCGAGAAGCTCCCAAGAGGGCCCCAAGAGGGCTCCAAGATGGCCCCATAGGCCCACAAGACGGCCAAGATAGGCTCCAAGACGCCCCTGAAGCGCCCCTAAGAGTGCTCCCAGGCGGCACAGCGAGGCGCCCAAGATGGCTTTCGACGGCGCCCGACGGATCAGGACCACCGAAAGACAGCCAAAAAAAAGGCTTCCAAGAAGCCCCCAGGAGGCTCAGGAACAACCTGCCCTGCACAAAAACAATTATGACAGACACCTCAACCTCCCAATGATGATGCTGATGAGTATGATGATGCTGCTGCTGATGATGATGATGGTGGTGATGATGATGACAATACTGATGATGGTGCTGCGGCTGATGATGATACTGATGCTGGTGATGATGATGATGATGATGATGATGATACTGGTGATGATGATGATGATGATGATGATGATGATGTTGATGATGAGGATGCTGATGCTGATGCTGATGCTGCTGATGCTGCTGATGATACTGAGAATGCTGCTGCTGCGGATGATGATGCTGATAATGATGAGGAGGATCAGGATGAGGATGAGGATGAGGATGATGATGCTGATGATGATGTTGTTGTTGTTGGTAGTGGTGGTGATGAAAGGGGTGATGATGGTAATGATGGTAATGATGGTGATGATGATGCTGATGATGGCGATGATGATGATGCTGATGATGATGGTAATGATGATAATGATGATGTTAATGGTGATGGTGATGATACTGCTGCTGCTGATGATGATGATGATGGTGGTGGTGATGATGATGATGATGATGATGATGAGGATGAGGATGAGGATGAGGATGAGGATGATGAAGATGATGATGATGATGCTGATGATGATGATGATGATGATGATGATGATGATGATGATGATGATGATGGGGGTACCTACGACGATGTGTAGATGGATCAGCAAATAAAAGATACCATTATGAGAGGGATGCGCCGACATTGAGACAGCAGGGCCCCGCAGCGCTCGCCACTCGCCTCCTCTCCCTCGCCCCTCCTCTCCTCCCTCTCCTCCCCCCTCCCCTCCCAGGAGCCGGCGGGCGCGTCCTCATGGACCCCGCGCAAGCCCCCGCGGCGACCGCTCCCCCGCGGGGCGGCGCGGATGACCGGCGCCCCCCCGCACGGCGCGGGCCGCCCGGCGCCCGGCGCGCAGGAGAAGCGGCGGCGGAGCCCTCCACGGGGGCGTCCGCACGGGGACGAGCCCGCAACGAAAAAGGGCGGGCCAAGTCGTCACCACCGCTGCCACAGGCCGGACGGGGAAGCAGGGAGGAGGGGGAGGTCCTCCTCCTGCCTCCTCTTTTCCTCCTCCTCCTCCTCCTCCTCCTCCTCCTGCCTCTCTTCTTCCTGCTCCTCCTCCACCTCCTCCTCCTCCTCCTCCTCCCCAGGGGCGTCCCGATTGGGACGAACCCGCAAAACGCGACACACGAGGGGGGCAAGGTACGGAGACGTGCGGCCATACGACCCACTACTCTGGGATCACTATGCCTATCTGAGACTCATACCATCGGGGCCACACACGCGTGAGGTGAATAGGGTATAGCATGTAGTGCGCTACGAAACTATCATATTGCCAGGATGGACGGGTTCTTTCGCTCGCCGACGTCTTCCCTCGTGGCGCTGCTCAACCAGCTCAGCCGGCTTTTCCCCAGACGAAGCCATGATGATGATGATGATGAGGAGGAGGAGGAGGAGGAGGAGGAGGAGGATACACTTATTTGGGGATCAATCGAGAATCTCTGAGATCCTGGCGGCTCTGGAAAATGTCTCCAGCGCCGCGGCCTTCTCAGAGCGTTCTGGAGCGCTCTGAGAGCGTGCCGGAATCATCTGGAACGAACTTCTCCTCGTCCTACACTCCCGTCCGAGGCGAACCCGCACCAAACGTTCGGGGTTCGGGGGCCGACGCTCTCGGACGCTGCGCTGTGCTGGTGCCAGGCGGTTTTTGAGCCTCTGGATGCCTTCCAGCAGCTGCGCCTCGCCGAGGGCGCTCCGGGGGTGTCCAGAGAGTTCCAGACAACCGCCGGAGACCGCAATTGTATGCCACGGAAATGGGCCCAGCGGGATGCTCTTGCAAACGTTCTGCTCCGAGGGCTCGTGTCAGGCAACGGGGCCCTCAAAAAGCGGCTGGGGGTGGACATACGGTCCTGAGGAAGGGTTCTACCTCCTCCTCCTCCTCCTCCTCCTCCTCCTCCTCCCCCGCCTCCTCCTCAGCCTCCGCCTCCCCCCCTTCTCCTCCTCCTCCTCCACCTCCACCTCCTCCTCCTCCTCCTCCTCCTCCTCCTCCTCCTCTCCTCCTCCTCCTCCTCCGCCTCCTCCTCCTCCTCCTCCTCCTCCTCCTCCTCCTCCCTCCTTCCCTCCCTCCCTCCCTCACTCCCTCCCTCCCTCCCTCCCTCCTTCTCCTGAGTTCCTCCTCCGCCCGAGTTCTGGGAACGTGAGAGCTCGAGCAGCTCGGGCTGTGTCTTCGATCCCCGATCCTTGATCCTCGATCCTCGATCCTCGATCCTTGATCCTTGATCCTCGATCTTTGATCCTTGATCCTTGATCCTCGATCCTTGATCCTTGATCCTCGATCCTCGATCCTTGATCCTTGATCCTCGATCCTCGATCTTTGATCCTTGATCCTGGCGCCCCGTCAGGGGTCGGGTGCGCCCCCCGGAGGGGGGCGGGACAGAGCGAAGGGAAGAGGGAGGAGGACGAGGAGGAGGAGGAGGAGGACGGGAAGGAGGAGGAGGAGGAGGAGAAGGAGGAGGACGAGGAGGAGGAGGCGGAGGAGGAGGAGGAGGAGGAGGAGGAGGAGGAGGAGGGAGGAGGAGGTAGAGGAGGAGGTGGAGGAGGAGGAGGAGGCAGGAGGAGGAGGAGGAGGAGGAAGAGGAGGGGGGAGGAGGAGGGAGGAGGAAGAGCAGGAGGAGGAGGAGGAGGAGGAGGAGGAGGAGGAGGAGGAGGAGGAGGGGGGGGAAGAGCGTGTGGCATGCGAGGGCCGCGAGATCTTGGGGATCCACACGCGCGCACACACACACACACACTCCTAGCCGGCCGACAGAACAAACATGACACATGATATGGCATCGGGGAACTCCCGCTGCAAACAGCTCACGAAACCGGGCCGTCCAAATTCACGCGAGGCCCGCCAAAAAGCTGAGGCAAATCCGAGTTTCGGCGAACTCGCGTCTGACAGTTCCCCGATGCTACAGGACAGGCAGCAGCAGAACATTCAAGGATGTTTGCTGATTTCTCATGTCTCCAAACTTGCCTAAAGTTTTGTAGCTCAGGTTGTCCGTAGGCATGCGCCGTTCGGCGTTCCTCGGGTTCCTTGGTCTTGGCTTCGTGGTTACATGGCCTTGGTTCCTTGGTTCCTCAATTAATTGAACATTGTTTGTACGGTTGAGGTGTTAGACAATGATGCACCGCGTCGTCGCATCTCTGCCAAGGCTGAGACCTTTCCTCTAAGGTGACGAATGCCCTTGTCGCCCCTCAGGCTTACCATTGCTCGGACGTCCACGCCTGCTGCATATGTCGGTTCCGTGCATGCTTTCTTTGCCAGATGATCCAGGATGCTCCTAAATGGTCCTGGCCGAGGAAAAAGTGCACACGTCCGAGCGATGCCGAGCCCCTGTGGGGACCCCCCCGGGCAGTTCTAGACCCCTCCAAACCAGAAGGGCAGCCTTTTGCCCAGACCCCCCTGGAACCCTCCAAATCAGACCAGCACAAATCAACCCCCTCTCCCTTCTATTGTGAAAACCGGGATATAGTGGAGACCAGTCCGCAAGAAACCTTGCACAAGAAACAACTCTGAGAATCCCGGACGTCCATTCTCTTTTGGTGTGGGAACGCTACGCTCTCCATAGCAAAACCATCGAAGCCCAAGAAACCCGGGGCACCCTGGAGGCAAGCGGGGTGCTTCCTGGCATGGGTTTCCACTGCACCCTTGCCGATCCTCAGGTAGGGAAACGAACTCTATACACCGACGCGTTTGCCAACCCTGCGCTGAAATTCTCTCAGGAACGCGGATTCTTGTGTATACGGGACCCTGGTGTATACATGTTTCGTTGTCTCCCTTGGGAAACGGGGGAACAGTATACACCACACCACCCCGACGTCGTCTCTGACCCTTCAGAAGTCGTGGGATTGAAAAACAGCCCGCCACTGGTAATGTATATGTTCCAGTTTGCGGTCAGGAGAAACTGGTGACCCCCCACCGTGTGGACCCCCCCCCTCAGCAATGCCCGACCCGCCGCCGCCGCCTGCGCGCTGGGGCCTCACCGCGCCGCGGCGCCTCCCCGGGCAAGACCCCGCGGCCCCTGTTGAGCCACAGGGCCTTCGCCCGCTGCGCGGCGAACCCTCGTTCCGAACCCTAGCTTCCCGCCTCGAACCCTCCCTCCTTCCTACCCCCTTCTCCTCCTCGTGCTCCCTCCTTCCTGCCCCTCCTCCTCACTCCTCACTTTTTCTGCTCCCTCCTCCTCCTTCTCCTCCTCCTCCTTCTCCTGCTTCCTCCCTCCAGCCTCTCCTCCTCCTCCTCCTCATCCTTCTCCTCCTCCGCCTGGTCTTGCTCTTCCTCCTTCTCCGCCTATTCCTCCCTCCTGCTCCTTCTACTCCTCCCTTCTTTTCCTTCACTCCTCCTCCTGATCCTGCCCCAACTCCTTCTTCTGCCCCCTCTCAGTGGCTCAACAGGCGGGTTGCGCAACATCTTCGAGCTAAGATTGGCAACGCCTGCTCCCCCTCTTCCGCCTCATCCTTCTCCTCTTCCTCTTATCCCCTTCCTCCTCCTCCTTCTCCTCCTCCTCCTCCTCCTCCTCTTCCTCCTCCCTCCACGGGGCCGTTGTTCTGATCCCGGGTCGTGTCTTGATGGCCTCGGGGCCCGAAGCTGGCTCCGGGAGCTCGAGGGCTCGAGGAGAGCGGCCACGACGTCGGAATCGGCGCCCGAAGGCCTGGAACAGGCAGCGGCGTCGGAGGACTCCACCTCATCCCGTTGACTCCAAATCGATCACCATCATCACCACGCCTGTCCGCGGCGGAGGAGCAGGTCGGAGGAGGGCGGAGAGGGAGGATGGAGGAGGAGCAGGTCGGAGAAGGGCTGGCGACGACGTGGAGGACGAGGAGCAGCACGTGAGAAGGAGGAGGTGGAGGTGGAGTGCAGGGAGGACAGGAACTCCGACCTCGAGGGAGGGAGGTCTGAACCCTTTTTCTGGGACCGCATTTTCTTGTCATCCCGGCCCGTTTCTTGACGGTCACACGCGGCCCTGCGAGGGCCCCTGGCAACCGAAAACTTGTAAAACCACTGCGTCATGTTTTTTTTCCCCACCGAGAAAAAGAGGGGGACGAGGAGGGGGAGGGCAATAATAAGAAGACAGGGAGGCCGAGGATGAGAGGCGGAAGTGGACGAGGAGCACAGGGAGGAGCACTAGCGGCTGTTGGCAGCAAGGGGCACGAAGGGAAGAACTCTTTTGCTCGAGGCCGCTCCGCCGGCCCTTGAGGCCGAGATCGTCCTCCGTCACTATCGCGCATTGGCCGCGGTCGGGTCCTCTGGGAGGCGAAACTTAGGAGGCAACTTCTGAAAATCTTCGTGATAACGATTAAACGCCATTGAACTCGATTAAAGGGCCGCTAAGCCAACTTAAGCCGGCGTGGGCTCCGGATTAAGCAAGATTGCGCGGAACTCGTCGGGACTTTGCCGAATTGTTATTTTTTGGCATGTTTTGAGCCGCGGAATACCAGCACGGATGCTGACTTCAACCTCCCGGGAGTTGCACCCGAACGGCAAGGTCCAGACCTCCTCTCTCTGACGGGAGCAGGAGTGGTACTTGCCATCGCTCAGATGTCCAATCCCCGTGAATTGTTCGATTTCGTTCGTGTTGTTCTTCGCAAGATGATCCGCAATGCTCCTCGACGGTCCTTGCCGAGAAAATGCGCAAACAACGGAGCGATGCCAAGGGTAATGGCTCGCAGCCGATGGCAGCCCGTCGGCGTGTTGCTCCTTGGTTTCTGCCCGGAGGCCTGGTGTCGGCAGAAGGCACACGCTGATGGGTTTCCCCCGGACGGCGCGTCATTTACACTGCTCCTGCTCCCCGACTCTCGTCGCGAACACTTCCAAACGGGAGATTGTTCGTCGTCAACGGTTTGGCGCGAATCAATGGGGGCGACACATGGGGCCTTACAGGCCTCAGAGTGCTGCTCGACCCTATGAGAGCGAGCTGCTGGATCTCCGAGATGAGCTGCTGGAACTGCTACATTGACATGACCAGCGCCATTGATGACGGGAGAACCTCTGAAGTCAGAAGCAGCGATGGCAAAAGCAGGATTCGCGGCCAAGGACCAGGAATAGCACAGGGATGCCCTCTTAGCCCGTACCTGTTTATCATAATGCTGACCGTCTGGATGAATGCGCACAATGACCCAAACTGTCGGCGCGCAGCGTGCGCGTCGCCGTGGAGATCCAGGCGGGCCAGCCTCGGCGGCGTCCTTATCGCGGGATTCCAGCGATTCGCCAGGCCCGTGCTGGCAGTTGGGGGCAACGTGATGCCAGTGCTGACAGGCAAGGGCGCGCGCGTCGAGATTGCGGCGCATCTCCCCGTACCGTAGCAGGATCCACTCTTAGCCCGTACCGTTTTATCAGAATGCTGACCGTCTGGATGAACGACGTAGAAAAGGACGATACTGTCAACTTCGGCGACCCCCCCCGCGGGAACGCAGTGCGCCGACGTCGCGTATGCACATGGCACGGCCCTGGTCTCCAACGACATCCGGCGTTTGCAATTCTATTCAGACCGGCGGATCATGCGAAGGCAGATGTATGGCTTGGAGCCCACTTTGGGGAAAACGGTGCACCTCCAGATCCCGCACGCCAATGACATCTTCACGCCCCAGGGCGCGCCCGTAAAGGTCGTGAGTTCGGCGGTGTACCCTGGAAGCCTCCTACGGGCAGATGGAAGCACTGGAGCCTCGATCGCCCGAAGAGTCGGGGAAGCGCGCGGGGCATTCGACTTTCTGAGGATTGTATGGAAACACGCCAACATTACAAGGCAGAGGAAGGTGTATCTATTCAACGCATGCGTGGTGACTAAATGGATATACAGTTTGGAGGCACTATACTTGCGCCAGGCAGACAGGGACAATATCGACGCTTTCCAAGCACAATGCTTGCGCAAAATATTCGGCGTCCCACACTCAATGATCTCTCGGGTCAGCAACGAAGCGGTGCGCAATATGTCGCACCAACACAAGATCAGCTTACGTGTTCTTTCAAACCAGCTGGTGTATTTTGACAAGTTGGCATCGGCAGCTGACACGAATTTGCCACGTTCACACGTATTCCAGAAAGGAAGCTCCGCTTTGGTCGACAATGGCCTGCGAGGGCGAGGCCGCCCGAGACTGCAGTGGGCCAGAGTCATGCAAGCGCATTCGCAGACGATTGAGCAGATCCACGGACAAGTCGCTCTTCATTGCGAAGCATGGCGGAAGGCTGTGTGCAAGTACGTATATCATTGACACCAACTTCTGAGGATCACTTTTCCCTCCCTCCCGCCTCCTCGCCCCTCGTCCTCCTCCTCCTCCTCCTCCTCTTCCTACACCTCCTCTCTGGCGGAGAGCACTTCAGTTCATATATTGTCCTCGTTTTTTCCAGGCTGTTTACGACCGCGCCGCGGCGAGCCGACTGCCTTCTGCCAGCGGCAGTGCGAGCAGCAGCCGCGCACTGCAACCGATGTGCCGTCCAAGGCACGGTTCTGACTTGACTTGATACATGGGGGGGGGGAACGTGCTGTTGTCGGGCCCACAGGGCCCTCGTCTGGGCCCTACAGGCTCCGGAGAGGAGCCCTTCAGAGCCCTTTTTCGGCAGCCCCCCATTTATCGCCGCCCAATTACCGTCTCTGGGAATCATTGCCAGGCTACCCTGCCGTACACAGAAATGGCTCGCGATGAGAAGCAGGTCCCAGTGAAGGGGTCTAGACCTCTGTGTGTCCACATTGTGAGGAAATCGCGACGTCTGAACCTTGGGGGGAGGGAAGGGCCGCGCCAGGGTGCACAACAACGCCACGCAAGCATCGGGCCGTATCATATCGTCGGAACATCGGAATCGAATCGGATCGGTGCGGCTGGAATCGAGACTCCGATCGAACCGAAATCGACCAGAGTTAACCGGAGTCCACTTTGGACCTGGGTCGCCTATCGTCGCGATCAGCCCCGCTCGACGCGCGAGTCGCGCTTACCCTCGAGCCTCTGGCGGTTAGGCTGGAAGAGCAGAGGAAGAAATAATGCATGAGCATAAACCTTCGGAGGTCCTGATGGTTTTCTTTGAGCAGCTATGGACCGCTCTCCCTGGCGAATGGTGGCGCCAGAACCGCCGCCAGGAGGTTCTAGCGCCAATCGACAGTGGCAGCTCGCGGGAGCCTCCGGTGTCATCTTCGTGGCTCTCTCGTGCCATCTTGCCAGCTCTTGCGGGTCGACGCTAGCCGACACTGCCCGACGCACATCGACGCTGAATCGATGCCACGTCGGCGTTTCCTCAGCCAGCGACTACCAGACGGTAGCGCACGCTACAGGAAGAGCTCGAGCACAAGAAACCTTGCCTTGAATATGGAAAAATCACGTTCCCCATCGTAAATTCACCGAGCCTGAGAAACCCAGGGTACCGTAGCGGCATGCAGGGTGCTCCTCGGCGTGGGCTTACATTGCGATGCGCCCTAAAAGTGACGTTTCAAGGCCATGCGAAACTCCTATAGGTTCCTGCCTGACCAGCCCACGAAATCTGCGCGGACCCTCGAAAGCGGAGATCTATACAAATTTGCCTTCCCCGACACTGACGCGCGGAACCCCACAATCTTCGCAGCCCCGCGGGTGACCCGGCTGATCCCCCATCTTGTTCCGAAGGCGACCTGTTTTTCCGAGGGCGACCTCACGTTCGTCGTCACGCTTAGCCCGTGCGCGATGGGCCGCTGCTTTCCCTCGCGCCCCTCCCACCTCGAGGCCATCTCCCTCATTGGTCCCATCGCCCACCTCCATTATCCCTCCTCCTGGGTCTCCTCCTCCTCCTCCTCCTCCTTTTCTTCCTCCTCCTCCTCCTCCTCCTCTTACTGTATCGGTACCCCCCGTCGAGCGCGGGTCACACGTCGAGACTACCGATGCTACCCGGGTCGAGTCTCCAACCGAGGCGCCCACACACACACACACCCTGACCGACGCAGCACCGATGGAGAGCGCGCCGCTCCGAACCGACGTTGGGACGCCCGCGGCGCGCACCGCCGATGGTCCAAACGGGCCAGGGCCCTTCCTACGTGCTACTTCTCTACGCTCGCTCCTCTCGCTCGCTCGCCCCTCTCGCTACTTCTGCTGCA